CATTGCAGCTCAGTTGGCCAACCCTGCACAATAGGACGTGCGGTCCAGTGGGCCGTTTTCGCCTGGTGCCAGCATGATGGCCATTGCGGTCCAGTTGGCTGTTTTCGCCTGGTGCCACCATACCCATTGCGGTCCAGTCGCCCAACCCTGCCGAATAGAACCGCAAGTCGGCGCAAGATGAAATGGAATCTCAAGCACGCATGGTGAACAAGTTTTGGGACATTGCTTTGATAGTTTGAGGCAACTGATGTCCTAAGAGTGCCTCGCACAGTGCTGATTTAAGGGTCCTGACAATCAGGAACTGTGTACATTGCATGTGTGTGAAGACGGCGAAGTTCGAACTGCAGGTTACCAGCTGCAGGCTGCAGACTGAAACTGCAGAGTGCAGGCTGGAAAGGGCAGCCTACAGATTGCAGTCTTTAGATTACAGGCTGCACACTGCTAACTGGAGAGGGTGCAAACTGCAAACAGCAAACAACAGATTGGAGGCTGCAGACCGCGAGTTGCAAATTGCTGATTGCAGGCAGCGAACTTCAAACTGCGGAGTATGTATGGGCTGCAGAGTGGAGACGAGCACACTGGTTCGTATATGTCAGGTCTGTCCCACTGCACACTGTAGACTGCGGATTGGAGACCAGATGACGTGCACAAAAATGCACACAACAGAGTGGATGGGACACAAACACGCTGCAATGTGATTTCAAAATTTCAATCTGTGTGTCTCACTCCGATTGATCATGCCGATCACAGATTAGTACCCTCCTTGGTTGAATATAAAGTGGGCTTACTGGAGTCATTACAGCTGTATTCAGGGTTATCGTAATTTCTGGAGTTAAACCACCAGTACTTCCTAAAGTCGTGCCCGTTAACGCTACGCGATTTTAGGAAACGTACGGGCCACTACAGGAGCGCCCAAATTCATCCAACTAGAAACGTTTCTACTCTATTTTTTTCCGCGGCCGATAGCTGGGCCAAGTACTGGTGGTTTAAAGACAGCTTTAATGCCCCACTTCGGAGGAATACATGGCCGAGACAGTAAACAATGCAGTCTGCCATTCTACACCTTGCTTGCACTGACAACCATTGCAGATTTCTAGGACACCCCATATACAATGTCCTGGTGCCCCACAGCTCGACAGGGGTGTGTGGTAAACAGACTTGAGTGTGGAATTCTTGTTGCAGTTGCCTTGTGGAAATGATCGCACTTACTTGTACAGCCACTGTCTGTACAGTGTATCCATGGCAGGCAGAGTGTGCACTGTAAGTATGGAACGACCTGCTGGCTCATTGACAGCCACAAATGGTTAACGGGGACCCCTATTTTCAGGCCCTGGAAATTTCATGAAAATGCACTTTTGCCTTGCTGTTTTATATGTTTTTAATTATATTTTTTCCGATTGTTTTTTGCAGTTAGTTAGTATGGTCTACACTCTACAAATTCGTGGCAAGTTTGATTAAAATGACCCTTTGGTTTTCTTATAAATGGCATGGCAAGTGGTCTGAAAATTAGGGTCTCCCTCAACCTTCTCTCTTGACAGCAGGATGCCCTTCTTGCAAGGCCTGGCAGCACCAGTGCTGATTCCTGTTCCGCGTGCAAAATCTCACAGGAGCTAAATTAAATGTGTGGGCAGGTTTTTCCTCATGAGGGAT